AATAGACGGAATTAAATGGCCCTAAGTTTTGAGAACAGTAGTGGGAATCTCAAAAGGGAGTAGACAAAATTCTTAGTGCAAAGCAGTTAAATGCTCAAAGAATTGATGATTAGAAAGTAAATATCAAATAAATGCACAAGAAATTAATGTTCATTAATAAGGAACAAAATTACAAAAAAGAAGACATCGTTGTCTTAATTACATTCCCCCCCATAAGGAACGAATTCGTTCCCTAAGTTTTTCCCAATCCTCGTCCTGTCGGGAGGTAGTGATATTCAATTCAGCCGCGACGTCATCATCATCAACCTCCAGCTTCTTGTACTGTTCGACCAGGGATTTAGTTCGCTCAATTCCCTGAGAGGCGTTGCGCTTTTTAGCGGCCATCCTCGCCCTGCAATCGTCCATTTTGGCTTGAAGTTCCCTCATCTGAGCAGCCAAATTAACCATCAGGGAGTCTTCAATCATGACTTCGGAAGAGATTTCTTTCAACTCGTCCTTAGCCTTGTTGATCTCCAAGCGCAGAGACTCTTTTTCAGCTACGGCTCGAAGATATTGAGTACGCTTGACCTTTAGTTCAGCGTTTTTGGCCAGCATAGTGAGGACCTCGGAGTGAATGACCTTCAACGTCGCTTTAAACTCAGCAGAAAGATTGAGCGACGGGAGCGCCAGTGCTTGCTCTAACTTCGCACTCGAGCGCTCAAGTTCATCCTTGTGTCTGGCAGCACTAGCCCTTCCAATGTCCATATCCATGAAAGACACGTACTCAAATACTAACTCCTTCAAAAACTTCAAGTCTTCTGCTGAGGAAGTAGCAGGACGATCAGATGGAGCAGGGCGAGGCATTTGGACCTGCCCCCAGGAAGCGAACAAATCCTGGATAGAACGCACAATCCTGTCAACATCCTGCAAAGAAGATTGCCAACATTAAAAATATTCGCTACAACGAATAAGTTGGAATAGGAATGGAGCAAAAAGAAAAACTACCTCGTCGACAATCATAGAAGATGGCGCACCCTCAGCCAAGCTGGCCACTAACGACTCACCCATTCGTGAGGACTTCCCCTTGTCCGAGCGAGAAGATGTTGCCACAACGGGCGGACTCATGGGAGTATCTGCAAAGTTCAAAGAGCAACTAGTCAGAAACCAATAGCACGAGCAAAGGTAAGACATCAAAACTTAATTACCTTCTGCTTTGATAATTGGGGGGTCGACGCCCTGGGAAGAAGGTGGCTTATTCATGGGTTGTGATGAAGAATCTGGGACTGAAGATGTATCTTTAAGCATGGTCCCATCATCAACCGGTTTGGGTGAAGTAGCCTCAACAGAGGATGATGGAGCAGGATTCGGTAATGCCAAGGCCTTTGAAAGGGAAGCTGAGCTTTTCTGAAAAGTCCAAAAAAAAAAAAAATCATCAATACACAGAAAAATTTCAAATGGGGAAGAGCATACTTATAAATAGACCAATTTAATTACCTTCCTCTTAACGATAAGAGGGACATCGTCACCATCGTCATCAACATCATCCTCCAGAATGGGAGATGCTGAGGCTGGCCGTTTGCGGCTTGGAGAACTCTTGGCCATAGTTGGCCTGGCAGGGAGAGAAGAGGATGGACGAGCAGATTGTTTAGTACGACGAGAAGGAGAGGGGTTCCGAATAGACAAAGGGGAGACCAAAACAGGAGGAGGAGGAGAAATACTCGGTTGGTCTAATGAATGAAAGGCACGATTGGCCTCAGTCGCAAATAATCTGCGCTTCACCGATGGCCAAAGTTGTTCGAAAAGAGGGTGAGTAGCATGACAAGGATTAAAAGGAAATTGTTGATATTCATGTTGCTTCTAAGCTGTAATGCAAAAAAATTGTCCCCTCGGTAGTTTTCAGAATAAAGTATACTATTTCTTCCTTGCCTGCTCCCACTAGACTTCCATTGCCACTCATGTCCACTGAATTAGTCGACACATGAGACCATGACAATAAATTCAATTTGAGCCTTTCTATGAAGAGTAATGCTATTCAAGTACTATTGGCGTCTAGCGTATAGGTGACAATTGCATGACATTAAGTGATAGATTTACAATGATATATGATTCATTTAATTGAACTTATCAAGTGTGGCCATCTTTACTATTGTTAGACAATATTATTCTCCTATGAATGGGTTTTTTTTCTCGGCTGAAGTCGATCAATATTAAATTTCTAATAGAGTAATTCACAACAAACATGTGATATAATTTCTCAAATTAAATAAGATGAAACAATTATATCTATGTGTTGTTCATATAGATTGGGATAAGTGTTCAAAGAGAATTAGAATGACATTATAAAATTTATTTGGTTTGATTGAGCCAAATTAATAAGGATGAAATCTCTCAGGATATACCATTCAAATTAACAAGATTAAAAACACCACATTTTATATTTTAAAATATATGAAATGATGGGAGAACTAAGGAAAATTTCTAGCGCATATATCAATGAAAGCTATTAACCAAAATTAACAAGTTGACTAGGCTGTAGAGAGTCAAGCTTAAAGAGCTGACCAATATCATGACAAGATAAAGCTATAGGGGTTGATCAGTTCGAGAAATCAAGGCTAAGAAAAAGTATAACTCATCCTTAAAAATGGGGAGCTCTCCCTTTTATATTCACTAATATAGAAGTTAGAACTCATAAATATAGAAAACTAATTTCCATATTGTTTTCTTTACCCCCAAAATCTTATCATTCTTTCACATATTGAAGTATTAGCATTATTTTCAATCTTCTTTTTCATCAAATTTTCACAACTTTGGAAAAGGTCATGGTACTTCCGACTCATACCCAACCACCTAATTGGTTACTCACGATTAAGCTAATGCACGATCAGTTCAAAAAATAAAAAAATAATATATATTATAATGCTTGACTAGAGTTTGTTTGTATTTTATTATAAGTATATATATTACTTTAAAAGTCAAAAATCAAATTATAATTTTCATTACACATTTCACTCCTCCCATTTATTCATCACTTATTTCTATAATACAAATCCAAACAAGAAGCAACTCAATTGATGGACCAGTGATTTTTCAATTAGCTGTACCTTTAACTGTTCTACATGTCATGTACTACTAGAATTGACAAATTTTGTCCTTAGCTTGCCTCTCTTACAATTTTATCCTACTATATGTACGAGATGTGACTTAACTATACAATTCATTAAAATATAAAAGCAGAAAGTGGAGAAAATTAAACTTTTTTTGAAAAAAATTAAACAAGATTGAAGAAGTTTGGCATACTCTCAAACACCGTCATTGTCTCTTGTTCACGTGATCATATTTTCCTTAAAATCAAGAAAAATATTTTCTTTAAGGGGAGTAGAATTTTATTTTTCAGGGAATCCACTCTCTCTTCTCTCTATTGCCCAGAGCTGTTATTCTATTCTCGCCCAAACCTTCAAGTCGCCCAAGGTGTCAACAAACATAACGCAACGTAATTATCAAGGAATGCAGTTATCAAGGCAGTTGTTAAAGCAGTCTTATCATGTTCCACAACTCAAGGAAGTCAATCGAAGGCAGTTGGACGATGAAAGATAATGGCAGTATTTTCTATCCACCCTCTCTCATCTACATACCAATAAAAATCAGACAAGTATAATATTCTCAATGTTGAAAATTAAATCAATCAAATATATTTTATTGACAATTTTCATACAAGTAAGTTCTAGGCAATTGAATTATCTAAAATTTATTTTCTTCCTAAGCAAATTCCATACTTGCAATTAAAAGTACCCTTAATGTGATTGACTTTTCAAAAACCATATCTAAATTCTTATATATAGTTTCTGTTTTGTTGAAATTCAAATTCAAATTTTAATAAATGTCAAAGTTAACAACTAATTTTAATACACACTTTATGAGATTTATAACTTTTTTAAATACACATTTTATCATGCTCCCACTAGACTTCCATTGCCACTCATGTCCACTGAATTAGTCGACACATGAGACCATGACAATAAATTCAATTTGAGCCTTTCTATGAAGAGTAATGCTATTCAAGTACTATTGGCGTCTAGCGTATAGGTGACAATTGCATGACATTAAGTGATAGATTTACAATGATATATGATTCATTTAATTGAACTTATCAAGTGTGGCCATCTTTACTATTGTTAGACAATATTATTCTCCTATGAATGGGTTTTTTTTCTCGGCTGAAGTCGATCAATATTAAATTTCTAATAGAGTAATTCACAACAAACATGTGATATAATTTCTCAAATTAAATAAGATGAAACAATTATATCTATGTGTTGTTCATATAGATTGGGATAAGTGTTCAAAGAGAATTAGAATGACATTATAAAATTTATTTGGTTTGATTGAGCCAAATTAATAAGGATGAAATCTCTCAGGATATACCATTCAAATTAACAAGATTAAAAACACCACATTTTATATTTTAAAATATATGAAATGATGGGAGAACTAAGGAAAATTTCTAGCGCATATATCAATGAAAGCTATTAACCAAAATTAACAAGTTGACTAGGCTGTAGAGAGTCAAGCTTAAAGAGCTGACCAATATCATGACAAGATAAAGCTATAGGGGTTGATCAGTTCGAGAAATCAAGGCTAAGAAAAAGTATAACTCATCCTTAAAAATGGGGAGCTCTCCCTTTTATATTCACTAATATAGAAGTTAGAACTCATAAATATAGAAAACTAATTTCCATATTGTTTTCTTTACCCCCAAAATCTTATCATTCTTTCACATATTGAAGTATTAGCATTATTTTCAATCTTCTTTTTCATCAAATTTTCACAACTTTGGAAAAGGTCATGGTACTTCCGACTCATACCCAACCACCTAATTGGTTACTCACGATTAAGCTAATGCACGATCAGTTCAAAAAATAAAAAAATAATATATATTATAATGCTTGACTAGAGTTTGTTTGTATTTTATTATAAGTATATATATTACTTTAAAAGTCAAAAATCAAATTATAATTTTCATTACACATTTCACTCCTCCCATTTATTCATCACTTATTTCTATAATACAAATCCAAACAAGAAGCAACTCAATTGATGGACCAGTGATTTTTCAATTAGCTGTACTGTTCTACATGTCATGTACTACTAGAATTGACAAATTTTGTCCTTAGCTTGCCTCTCTTACAATTTTATCCTACTATATGTACGAGATGTGACTTAACTATACAATTCATTAAAATATAAAAGCAGAAAGTGGAGAAAATTAAACTTTTTTTGAAAAAAATTAAACAAGATTGAAGAAGTTTGGCATACTCTCAAACACCGTCATTGTCTCTTGTTCACGTGATCATATTTTCCTTAAAAACTGTTCTACATGTCATGTACTACTAGAATTGACAAATTTTGTCCTTAGCTTGCCTCTCTTACAATTTTATCCTACTATATGTACGAGATGTGACTTAACTATACAATTCATTAAAATATAAAAGCAGAAAGTGGAGAAAATTAAACTTTTTTTGAAAAAAATTAAACAAGATTGAAGAAGTTTGGCATACTCTCAAACACCGTCATTGTCTCTTGTTCACGTGATCATATTTTCCTTAAAATCAAGAAAAATATTTTCTTTAAGGGGAGTAGAATTTTATTTTTCAGGGAATCCACTCTCTCTTCTCTCTATTTTCTATCCACCCTCTCTCATCTACATACCAATAAAAATCAGACAAGTATAATATTCTCAATGTTGAAAATTAAATCAATCAAATATATTTTATTGACAATTTTCATACAAGTAAGTTCTAGGCAATTGAATTATCTAAAATTTATTTTCTTCCTAAGCAAATTCCATACTTGCAATTAAAAGTACCCTTAATGTGATTGACTTTTCAAAAACCATATCTAAATTCTTATATATAGTTTCTGTTTTGTTGAAATTCAAATTCAAATTTTAATAAATGTCAAAGTTAACAACTAATTTTAATACACACTTTATGAGATTTATAACTTTTTTAAATACACATTTTATCAATTTTTATTAAAAATTACTAAAAATCTAATTTTAATCCTACTGA